ATAGATAGATAGATAGATAGATAGATAGATAGATAGATAGATAGATAGATAGATATTGGTTTAAATGCATATAGTTTTACCTTCACCGGCAGTTGAATCATGTTGACATCTGAAAATGAACAACAGGTTTTTGAGGCTCCGCAGCTAAAATAGATTTACACAACTGTAGAATTATTGCTTTTACAAACTATACGAATTATACTGACAGCATTTCTTGCGATTTTCCTGCATCTTTTATTTCTCTTTTATGTAATCATTTTTAAAAGACTACTGTTTTCATTGAACTTTTCTCCGTACGAAGAAGACATATTGTTTTTCTTTAGGTGATGCAGAAAGAGGGGGCTGAAGTGGGAGGTGAATGAAGAGAAGAAGGTGGAGAAGGAGGAAGAGGAGGAGGAGGAGGATAGAATCTAAAGTCAGAGTAAACGAGGTCTCCCGACTTAACAAACTGCAACAGGAAAAACACTACGACAGCGACAATATAACTACAACAACAAAATAACAACAACGACGACGACGACGGCAACAACAACAACAACAACAACAACAACAGCAACAACAGCAACAAAAACAATAACAATAATAGCAATAACAACAACGATGACGACACCAACAAAGACAACAACAACAGCAACAACAACAACAACAACAATAACAACAAGGATGACGACACCACCACCAACAACAACAACAACAGCAATAACAACAACAACGTACCGAGAATCTGCAGTCGGACGTTTCTCCCGTTTGAGTCATAGCTGCAGGGAGGAGAAGGTGAAGAGGGGGTGACGGGAGAAAGGGGGAGTACAGTGTATGTTTATAATAATAATAATAATAGATAGCATTTGTATAGCGCATATCCCCGCTCAGCAGCAGGCTCTATGCGCTTTACACTATATTATTACCCCAGCAGACCATAGAACACTCCGAAACATTCTCAGCTTCCCAGGAAGTATACAGTGCGAGCAGCCGATTAAGCGCTCAAACACTAACAAACTGACAAGATCTTTCGCTGTCTGTAGTCGGGTACCCATTCCCACCTGGGTGAAGTGAGGAAAATTCGTGTAAAGTGCCTTTCCCAAGGACACAACGTCGGACCCTTGACGGGATTCGAACCCACGACCTTACGGTTGCGAGTCCGAGAGCCTAACCACTAGGCCACCGACGCCACGGTGTTAAAATGGATTACCAAAAAAAAGGAGAAAATAAGTGTGATAAATCCTGTGGTTGTTGTTGCTATGACAAGTATACAGTTTCTCAGCGGAGGCAGAGAGTATTTAATCAAAATTAAATACTCTCTGGCGGAGGGGAGGGGGGGGGGTATTATCTATTTTTAATGGGCCAGATGTTTTAAAAAGATAGAATCTAGTCACTTTTTTCGAAGAGCTTATGCTGTACGTGGAAAATACATCAGCACAGTGTGTGTGATAGGTCGAAGGTTTGTTTTTTGTGGGGTTTTTTGGTTGGGTGGAGGGTACGGTTTTTTGTTGCTGGTTTTTTTTGGTTTGTTTGACTGTTTGTTTGTTTGTTTGTTTGTTGTTGTTGTTTGTCATCAGTACTGTAAGTCACTATTGTTTTACATGGTAATAACGTCAACTGTTGTGGCGGAGATCTTGAACTATTATAAACATTCTCATTCTCAATTATTATTACTATTATTATTATAATTATCGCTATTATTAGTGTTAAAATCTATCATTATTGTGATTTTTTATTATCATTATTAATTTATTATCATCATCATCATCATCATCATCATCATCATCATCATCATCATCATCATCATCCTCATCATCATCATTATCGTCATTGTGCTCGGCGCTCGGGAAAGCTATGTCACAAACTGTTCTACTTGAGAGTGATGCATCTCAAGTGCTGATTTGGAAGTGGAAAGGGGGGGGGGATTCGATAATCATGGATCAAAGGGAGGTACATGTATAATGTCAAATTGTTGGTAAAAGTAAAGTTGAACACCCACTTTTTGCACTGCTTGGCATATTGCGCAACATCGGGGGTAGATATAGAGGTTGCATTTGGGGTAGCATTTATGTCTCCGAGAAATGGAAAATAGTGCCCTCTGATCACGCGCTGTGTGTGTGTGTGTGTGTGTGTGTGTGTGTGTGTGTGTGTGTGTGTGTGTGTGTGTTTGTGTGTGTGCATGTGAGAGAGAAAGAGAGAGAGAGAGAGACAGAGAGAGAGAGAGAGAGAGAGACAGACAGA